TCAGACCATATGGATGCTTTTCTTTTTCCCCCAGGTACAATATTGTGTTTCCCCCGACCCAGGCATTTTTTTTGAGTTTGTTGGTACTGCTTGAGAGGTACTTAAATTATTACCTTTGTTCTGTAGGAATGCGGGTACTGTGAGACAAATGTTGGAATCAAAACGAAGTGTGGGAGAAACCACCACCACCACCACCACCACCACCACTGCAAATTTGCAGATGCCAACTGCTGGTAAGACACTAATAGACTATTTTCATTGGGTGATTGTCGTTTCCTTATGGAAGGCCATTTTTATTTTTGAAAAAAAATTCTATTTGATAATTGATGACTTGTACTTTCGCTAAAAAGTTTGTTTCTTTTATATTCTAGTTTTGCCTACTACATCTACTACCCCAAGCTCTTCTAATTTAACACTACGAACATCAGTAGCTGCTTCACAAATACCGGTCAGCCAGCCATCTGCTAATGCCACTCTTCAAACCAGAGCACCACCTGACTGGAAGCTAATTCAACAAAAAAGTAAGCTGTGGTTTCTTTACATTTTTTATAATGTTTTCCATGTTTAAAAAAAAAAATTCATATGTGCATGTTTTGTTAATGTTAGTATTTTCTTTTTTACTTTAACAGTTAATGCTCAGAACACTCAAAGCGCTCAGTCCAAACCTAATCCACCAGTTACTTCATCTCCAGTTATCCCTTCTGTTCTCTCTGCATCTAATACTGCAACAGTTGTTGGAAACAGTCCGGTATCAACCAGCAGCACCCATCCAGTGTCTGTTTCCCTTCAGTCTTTGCCAGTAATTCTACATGTTCCAGTTGCTATGCCTTCCCAGTCACAGATCCTTCAAGGTACCACAGGAACATTGGTGACTAATCAGCAGTCTGGTAATGTTGAATTCATACCGGTACAAAATCAGTCTACAGCTGGTAATGTTACAAAAACACCTGTGACATTACCTGTAACAAAGACAGTCAACAGCCCTTCAATGTCTAGCCCAAACATTCAGAGGAATTCTCCAGGCAGTTCTATTCCTTCTACTATGGCTGTCCAGGCTATCCCTTCAAATCATCCAGTTACATTATCATCCAGACAATCACTGCCACCTGCGGGACCCTCTGGCGTCTATAGCCAAACCAGTAATCGAAGCACAGCACAGTTGAAATCACCAGTATCTGGATTTAATAATTCATCTGAATCGTCTATTGGTAGGACAGGTAAGTTGAGTTATTTAATTTTCTATCCACTGAGTTTCAAACCTTTAGGGGGTCTTAACCCCTTCGTGACTGACGACGTACAGTGTACGTCGCCAGCATCGGGGCTGTTTAAACTTGCAAAGCCGACTGTCGGCTTTACAACAGAAGCGATTCTGGCGACTTACCTGTCGCCAGATCGCTTCTGTGTCCCGTAGAAGGGGCCGCCCCCATACTGCAGTTTTTCGCCGTTTCACGGACGCACGCAATTTGTAACCTGGGCATGTTGGGTATCGTTTTACTCGTTGTAACCTCATCTTTTATATTTCATTAAAAAAATTGGTATTTTCCTGTGTTTTGGGGCATTAAATTAAATTTGTCACTAAATTTGGGGGTTTAATAAGGAGTTGCGCTAATATTGCGCAACATGAAAACTACCACCATTTTATTCTATAGGGTCTTGGCATTCAGAAAATATATAATGTTTGGGGGTTTTAAGTCCTTTTCAGGCCTATAATGTGGAATATAACATGGGTGCAAAAAATGAAAAAAAGGCCTCAGTCGTGAAGGGGTTAAAGGAACTCTATCTTATATTTTCACATAATTTAGTAGTGCACGCCAACATTACAAAAATCAGTTTAAGTAGAAAAGTACCTCTACACTACTAGAAGAGTTGCATGTGTTTCAAGTAATTTCAAGCATAACTAAACCCAAAATCAAAGAAGGAATATATTGCAGCTTCTCAATCCTTAAATGTAGTTTAATATAGTTGGTTTTCTCTCTCATCCATTGAGGGACACCGCTCTTAAGAATTCTGAGGCGTAGGGTTATGCTGCTGCCTTTGGATAAGTAGACACTAGGCAAACAAATTTTAAAAGCCTATCACTTTAACCCCTTCGTGACTGACGACGTACAGTGTACGTCGCCAGCATCGGGGCTGTTTAAACAGACTCCCGGCGACTTTTGCCGCCGGGACTCTGTTTAAACTTGTAGAATAACCCCTCTTGCCTGCCAGTTTCTCTTAGTGTTCTCAGGAGAATGGGTGTCTCCTTCTCATGTATTATGTTAGTTTATTTTGTGTCTTCATTGAAGATTCTATACCAAGAGCGGCTAATTGAATTAAAGCAGATACTAATAATTCTGGGAGTCTCTAGCTGGTCGCCAAAACTGACAGATTCATGCCAGATAAGTTCAATCTAAAGGTGCCCATACACTGTACGATTATCGTACGCGAATTGCGGGAAATCCCGCGATCGTACGAGAATCGTACAGTGTATGGAAGGCGTGCAACCGTTTCTACTGTACGGTCGCACGTCTTCCGTCGAACAAGCAGGCTTGAAAACCCGCCGAGAATCGTACGATTCTCGGCGAGTTAGTGGCCTGCTTGTTCGGCAAATGCCGAACAGGCCGGTGTGCGCACGTTTGTGATCGGAAGCCCGCCCCTCACTGCGGTCATCGGAAGCCAGCCCCTCAGCTTTCGATGATCGCAAGTACGATCTGCCTGTCCAAGATGGGCCGATCGTACAAGCTTTTAACTAGCTTGCGACCCTCGCAAGACAAAAGTCTTGCGATGGTCGTAAGGTGAATGGGCACCTTTTAGAATCTTCTCTAGTTGTGATGAAGCAAGTCGTTTCTGGTGTCAATATGTATGCTGCGTACTGCAGTGGTCCTGTGTTCCTGTTTTCATCATTTTAATGGTCAGGCCAGTATTATATGGGGATTCCTGTTATGTCAGGAACACGGCCGTGGAGTTGAGTAAAAAAAAAAATTATTTACTTCATGTTTAAAGGTTGGGTGTATTCCATCCTTTTTATTTTACTTTGGCTGCGTGCTTTTAGACTCCTATTTGGCTAAATGCTTTTATGTGGAGTTTAACCGATTTTTATTTAAATTTGCTGCCGTCTAGGACTTGGATTTGATGACGCACTTGTTTTTATCCACTGTGCATGTGCAGCCCGTTTCTCTGGTTTTGACTTTGCTTCCTCTGTTTCTTATTTACCCTCAATTTCATGTCACTTTTGGGGAGAAAAAAAATCCTGCTTTTTTTTTTTACTATTACACAGCCATTCTTCAAATATTCTGCTGTCTGCGGCAGGTGGTTACAGTACCCCATATTTTTTCCTCACCGGTTGGGACCGCAAGTATTATTGTGTCTGAATCTGTCTGAGGCAGAATTGTCAGAACAGCAGACTGTCATTAGCAGGCCACTGTGTGAAAGTGATTTTTTTTTTTTTCTGCTTTCCTACTGTGTCTTACTACTGGTTTTATTCAAACACTTGTAGCATTTGTGATTTTACGTTGGTGTCACTGATGTTTCCGGTTCTTCCAGTCACAAGTGGCCTGTAATTTCAAGGCCTCTAAGGCCCCGTTCACATATAGCGAATTGTCGCCGCGATATCGTGCATTTTTGCCGCGTGATATCGCGAGAAGTCGCCGGCCAATGCTATTCAGTGGAGCTGTCTTAACTCCATGTCGCTCGTCGCGGTCGCAAGTCGCTTCTACCGGACCCTTTTTCGGCGGATTTTGCGCAATTTTGCTTTTTTTCTATGGAGCCCGACGGAGAAGGTCGCGCTACCGTCGCTGGATCGTCGCCCCGAAAGTCGCGCTATCCCGGCCGCTGTAAAGGTATGTCGCTATATGTGAACGGGGTCTTAGGTGTTGCTATGGTGACCCGATGACTTAGTTTAGCACTCAGGAGAGGGTGCTCATGAAACAGCGGCCAGGCATTGGTGATGCTTATCTAGGTGCCTGAGGCGCGCACTCTTTCCTTAAGGCTGGGTTCACACCTAGGCGTACCGAATTTGCGCTTTTCGTGTCGCACGTTTTTACCGCGATTTGCGTCTTTCCGAGGGCTATCAGGCTCTATCCTAATGGATACGCGCGGCAAATACGCCCCAAAGAAGCTCCTGTACTTCTTTGGGCGTAGGGCGTTTTGCAGCGCGTTCCTACGCGCTGTAAAACGCCCAGGTGGGAACCATGCCCATAGGCAATCATAGGTTTTCACATGTTGAGCGTTTTATAGCGCGTAGGAACGCGCTGTAAAACGCCCAGGTGTGAACCAGGCCTTAAGGATTATGGAGCATAGCGCATATTTTCAGTTCATGAATACAACACAACTAATGTATGCTTGTCATAAACACTATGCCATCTTATTGATGCTGTAGCTAGGCTGTGACAGATTCACTCAGCATCAGAAAAAAAAAATTCTTCTTTTGGATTTTTCCATTATTTCTACTTCTGTGATTTCTAAGTTCACATAAACATGTGTGTCTGCAAGGTTTTTCCCTCTTAATCCTATTTTTGATAGGTTTATATATAAGGATTGGGAAATTCCAGATGAACAATTTCTGGTTCCTAGACTCTCAAAGTCCCTGTATCCTTTTCTGTATGATTTTTGCTAATAAAAAAAAACGGTTCCGTTTTTCAACCATTCTGGTTATGGTCCTTATTTACCAGACTTTGGCTACTTGGACAACATCTTTTAAGTACAGAACAGGCGACTGCTGGAGTTGATCAACAGTTTCAATGTGCGGATCAGATGACTGTTAGTTCTCATTTCATTTGTGATGCGTTTCTTGATGCTTGTCTGTTGTCTCGTGTGTCTGCCTTTTGCATTCAGATACAAGAGCTATGTGGTAGCTCAAGTGCTGGTCAGCGGAGCCCCAAAGCTAAAAAGGGAATTGTTAACCCTATGTGAGAGGTTATCCACTTTGGAGCTACCTTAGATTAGATTATTAAAAAAGCTATTGAAGGTCAAAGTGAACACTAGCCTTGTCTCATAGCTTTGGTCCTCCATCCCCTTAATTCGTTTTGTTGCCTTTCTCTGGACTCTCCAACTCAAGGACATAATTTCTGTCTATTGGTGACCAAAACTGGACCGCATACTCCAGATGAGGCCGAACTAGTGCTCTATAAAGTGGCAAAATTATAGATTTGTCCCTACAGTACATTCCCTTTTTAATACAAGACAGTAATCTGCTTGCTTTGGTTACCGCAGCCTGGCATTGCAAGCCATTGCTCTATCTGTGGTCTACTATGACCCCCAGATCTTTTTCCATTTCTGACTTCCCTAGTGGAGTACCCATTAATGTGTATTCATCAGCAAACACGGAAACATTGCTATTCACACCCTCCCCGATGTCTTTAATAAACAGGTTGAGGCTTAGCACAGATCCCTGGGGCACGCCACTCATGACCCTAGACCAATCTGAAGATGAGCCATTTATCGACACTCTCTGGACACGTTCCTGTAGCCAGTTCTCTATCCATGTACACAACATATCATCTATGCCCACAGACCTCCGCTTATGTACTACACATTTATGTGGCATTGTGTCAAACACCTTAGAAAAATCCAGATACACCACATCCACCGACCTCCTTCCATCCAGATCACTACTTACCTCTTCTAGCTCCGCTATTTCTAAGTAGATTTGTAGCTTGTCAATTAAACTTATGTATTACAGGACAGGGTACGGCCTTTTCCTGTTTCTGCTCATTCTACTAGTGCAGTTAGAACTTAATTTCAGAATCTAGATGCTGTTAGTCAACATTGCAAGGCTGTAATTGGGTATTCTGTTCACACTTTTTTTTTGCAAAGTTTTATAAAGTTAATGTTTCCTGCCTCTTCTGAAGAAGATTCAGAAGTTTTTCAGGCATCTGTTTACACAGTGTGCACCAGGCAAAAGACAGCTTTTTAATTGCACATCGAGCCACCAGCAAAAAAATTCTTTTTTTTTTTTTGCTTGAATGCCGAATAATGGGGTGTTTACTGGATTACATTTTTTGTTAAGATAAGCTTTAAGGTATTAGAGTGTCTGTTTTTAACAAGACATAGCTCATCCCCTCAGACTTGCATTGTAATTTAGAGTGCCTCCATGCTGTTATGGCACAACCAGGATTATAGGCAAATGAGCAAGTGTGTGTGTGTATACAATGAGGTAGATAAATGGAGGAACCCTCCGCACATCTCACAGCAGTCCCGGCCAATAAGCATAAAATGGTGCTCGCAGTGATGTTTTACC